GTCAGCACAGCTGCTTCCTGCTCGGTGATTCATCCCAGGCCCTGCGTGCGCGCTATTGTCCTTCCAGAGCCCAGAGCGTTCTCTGCCGGCAGCGGGTGGGGGCGGAGGCAATTGACTCCTCAGGGCCCCTGCGGGTTCCCTCGGGGTCGCTCCCCCGCCAGCCACTGGTGACACATCCACTGTGCGCCCCAGAGCCAGCTCCACAAAAGAGCAGGGGGCGCTTGTGGCATCTTCCCGGAACAGTGGGGAGGGCCTGGTGTCTTGGGGAGCAGGGGTGTGGCGAGGCTGTGGTCCCCGCCCCTCCTCGCCCCTCCTCGCCCCATGCTCTCTGTCTCCCTGTCCTGCCACCCAGCACAGAGCAGAGCCTGGGCCTTCAGGTTAGAAGCAACCCTGGAGAGTGACACCAAGCACAGAGGGGAAACTGAGGTCTGCAGTGTGCGTGGGCTCCTGGGCAGGGGGTGGTGGTGGGGAGGTGGGCGTGGGCACCGCAGGTGACCAAGGGCAAACTGTGGTGGGGTTTTGGTGCCTTGGTTTCCTCACCTGTAAAATGGGTGACAGTGACGCCCTGCAGAGTGTGTGGGGTGCCCACAAGAAGCGGCCCCTGGGGTGCGCCCGGGGCGGTGCCTGCCCTTCTTGCCCTCCCCCGGGGATTTGTGGGGCCGGCTGACCTGCCGCTCGGCTGGTGACGTGCCCTGGCCGGGCCCTGAGCGACCGCTATGGTCTGTCCTGCTGTGGTTTGTCACTGGTCAGTGAAGGCCGCCTGGCCCTGGGTGCCCCCAGGATTGGAGAATGTGGTTTGCAGATGTGAGATGGTGTGGGGAGCAGGTGAGGCAGGACCAGCTCTCCGCAGCCCCCTCGCAGTCAGCGCACAGTCGGTCTCCGCTGGTGGGTCTGAGTGCTAATTAGGGTGGCAGCTGGCGCAGCGCGGTTCTTAATGGCCTGCAAACGAGTTCCCTTAAAATTAAAGGGAATAAAGAGAAAACACAGCGGGTTGGAATTAAATTACTGGTTGTGCTGTGGAGGGAGCCTTGCGGAGTCACTCTGGGGACAGAGCCAAGCCAGGCGGGGAGTGTGCCCCCGACCTAGCCTCTCTGGGCTGGCAGTGGTCTCGGGGTGTCCCTGGTGGGGCCGCAGGAGCCTGTGTTCTGCTGTGAGCCTGGGAGGCACTGAGTGCATAGCAGTGCATAGTCGTGGCTGCATCTGGAGTTCCTAAACGTGTGGGGTCCTGGAGGTTGCCCTGGGGACCCCTCCCGCTGGTCCTGGCCCAACCAAGGTCCAGGGGCTTCGGTCACACACGTGTGTAGAGACGAGGCCGGACAGAGGGTGACGTGCGGTCAGGGTCGGCCTCTGCTGATGATTCTCTTCCCTCTGTTCTAGCTCCCCCGTCCCTACGGCCGCCCCCGAAGCTGTCTGCAGGTGATGTTAGCTGGTGTGTGCCCGTGTGCAGTGGGGGTGCCGTGGTTGCCGTGCTGTGCCTTTCTGCCCTGTCCCCTCCTGTGCCCACCCAGGGCCACCAGCCCCACCTTTCCACTCTTCCTGGGACCCGCCCTCTCAGAGTGGGTGGGAACTTTGCAAGCTTGCAGAATAAAGGCTGGAGACTGGGGGAAATGACCCCTCCCACTCGGGCTCCAGAAGCCCTTCCTCCCACCTCCTTTGCAGTCCCTGGGGCCAGTCGTCGGTCCAGGTTGCAGGGGGACCTCCAAGGTGATGGAGCCAAGAGCCCACCTGTCCCTGGCTCCTGGCCTGGGGGGCTCAGGTTCTTGGGTCCCTGGGATGCTGAGTCAGCCGGGCTTTGGGGTGGCGCTCTGACCTGGCTCACCCAGTCCTGAGTTGTTGCCTGGGGTGACTCCAGCTGGGCCAGGGCCCCTCAGCACCCTCACACGCCCAGCTTGGACACACCGGGGACCTGGGCCCAGCAGACAAGGACTGCTGCTTCTGCCCGGCCCAGGCTGCCTGGTGACTTTACCTCTGTCCCCTTCTCTGGGTCCTGAGAATGGCCGCCTCCGAGTACCTGCATGGTAGCTCTGGTGTCACAGTGGTTAAAGCATTGGGCTGCTAACCCACTGGGAGTTCAAACCCACCAGCCGCTCTGAGGGAGAAAGATTAAAACCAAAATCAAACTCGCTGTCGTTGAGTCAGATCCAACCCACAGCGACCCCTCCTTGAGTTTCCGAGGCAGTATCACTATGGAAGTAGATTGCTCAACCTTCCTTCCAGGAGTGGCTGGTGGGTTTGAACCGCCAGCCTTCTGGTTAGCAGTCAAGTGCCTTAGGCACTATACCACCAGCCTTGGAGACCCCGTGGGGCAGTTCCTCTCTGTCCTCTAGGGGTGCTGTGAGTTGGAATAGACTCCACGGCAGTGGGTGTGTTTTGGTTTGGAAATGCCTGGACTGCAGTGCGACTTGCCATAGGGCTCACCCCAGCTCTTCCTCTGTCTCAGCCAGGATGCTCTTTGCACAACAGCGTGTCTGAGACCACATCATCCTCTTGCTGAAATCTCTGTCCCCCGCCAGCCAGCCTTGGCGCCCAGTCCGTCTGGGCTGGCACCCAGGGCCTGTCTCCACCAAGCCTGGTCTCGGAGTTCTCTATCTAGAAAGATGGATTTCAGGGTACAGTTCCATGAACACACTGTTACTTCAATGACGACAAGTGACGCTCAGTCGTGCACACCCCATGCCAGGCACTGTTCAGACACGTTCACACACGTTCACACGTCCACACCCTGGGACGTGAGCATCCCTACGTTAGTGATGGGCACTTGGGCACAGGGAGGTCACGCGCTGCCTAAGGCCACACCTTCCCTGGTTCTCAGTCTGTGCTCTCGGCAGAGGTTGCGGTGAGCATCTTCCGCTGTTCCCCGGACTGTGGCTTTCGCCCCCAAGACCCCCCACCAGTCCACCCCTCGTCACCCTCCAGGAGGCCTGTCCGAGGCCGCCCCTGCTCCTGGTCCCACTGGACAGAGCCTCGCCTGCATCCTGCCCCGAGTGCCAGCGGGCACGTTCAGCTCTGTAGCGACAGTGGGTTTTCGTCCTTCGGGGCAAGGCCAGCCCAGGCTCACACTCAGCCCCACGCCTTTGACCCTGACCACCAGACCCAGCTCAGAGGCCACAAGGCAAATGGCACAAGCCGCCAAGCCTGCCCAAGACCTTAGACGCCAGCCGCAAGCTTGGGGTTCCCCAGGGCTCCTCTCCCTTCTGACCTGCCAGCTACAAATGCAGGGGTTCTCTCCACCGCCAGCTTGGGGTCCTCAGCCTCCCTCCGTCTGACCTGCTGGCTCCTCCTCCTCCGTCGGGTTTGATCATTTGCTGGAATGAGTGTCAGGACTCAGCAGGGTGCTGCACTCGGGATTAAAGCTTATCACAGACGGGGACTCAGTGAAGACACACACAGGCCGAGGTCTGAGAGGGGCCCCGGCCCGGAGCTTCTGTGTCTCCGAGGACGCACTCCCTCCATGCGCATTGAAGCCTGTCACCAACCAGGAAGCCCACGGAGCCGCTGTGCCCAGGGCCCGCTCTGTGTCTACGGGTCTCCCTCCCTTGGTTCCGAGGGACCATGCTGGGAGCCGCTGGGCAGCTGTCCTTTTCTGGGGAGTGGCAGTGCCCCTCCGAGAGTGGCACTTGTTTCCACACCTTCCGTAGCCAGTACCCACCTCCCGATGCCGGACCCGTCCCTCAGGATAAGATCTCAGGATCTTACACCCTGAGGGGCCCCCGAGGCAGACGCTGCGGTTTTTAATTTGGATGGAAGTGTGCAGACAGTGGTTTGCTTGGATGCGTCACTGGCCGCGTGTCAGTTAATGAGAAGCTGCGTGTTTTCCCGGCCCGCCTCGGTAACAAAGCTCCGTGACATGCAAATATTTATAGATGAGCGTGGAGCACATGGTGGGAATTGTGCTGCTACTTGAAAAACTCAGCCACACAGACACAGCCCCCCTCCCAGGGCGCTACCTGGGAGGAGGAGACCATAGGATCGGTATTTCCAACAGCTCTCGCGCTGGTCCAGACACGGAGGAGCTTATGAAGAAGGGAGGCGAACGGAACCAGGATGGCGTGTGGTCAGCACAGTGATGTCTGGGCCCAGGGCTGGTGGGAAAGGGGCAGCATTTCCAATCCAGCACCATGGCAGGGTGATGCCCGTGCGGTGGCTGGAACACAGGCTAAGCCTTCCCCGGGAGGCTGGCCTGGGCTGGGGACTTCCCCAAGCCTCTTAGTTTTCTCACGTCAGACTTTGCACGGTGCTGCTGTTACTTGCTGGTGAGTCAGTCCCCGACTCACGTCAAGCCCATGCGCATGGACAGAGCGCGGCCTGGTCCTGCCTCATCACCGTGTTGTTTCGAATCAGGCCACTGCGATGTTTCGGAGAGCCCCAGGCCTTTCTTCCTGGTCTCTCAGTCTGGAAGCTCTGCTGAAACCCGTCCCGCGTCCTAGCAACACGCCAGCCTCCGTGACGGACGGATGGGGGCTGTGTGGGAGGTGCACTGTCGGGGGCTTGAGAGTGTTACCATTGCCCTCTCTGTGAGCACAGAGTGCTCTGTGTGCCCTCTCTGTATAGCATAATGCGGGAGGGGGAAGGGAGGCACACCGGGCACTCTGTGGGTGCAGGCGTTTCGTGAGTTCAGGTTTAGAATGCAGTCCTGTTTGGAGATGATGTAGTGACTGTCACAGGGACTTGGCCAGGAAAATAACTTGGCCTGGACTTTCGCCTTTGAGTGATGCTCAGACCGGTGAGCCATGGGGATGGGTGCTCTGGTATCTGAGTGGGAGAAGACACCAGAGACAGACAGACAGCAGGGAGGGAGGGGCGATGGGGATAGGTACAGCAGGGTGGGGCTGGGGAAGGGTAGGGGGCTTCAGAGACTGCTCAGGGAGGCCTCCAAGGAGGTGCCTGCCTGGGAGCAGAGCCAGCAAGGGATGGGTGTCTCTGGCCAGGTCTGGGCCCAGGTGCGTCCTTGTCACCTTTCGCCTGACCCCTCCCGCCTAACTTCTCTCCTTCCTCTGCAGCAGGCAGGCCCTGGAGAGTACCGGACGCTGCGGAAAGGCTTCTCGCCGTACCACTCAGAGTCCCAGCTCACGTCCCTGCTGCCCTCCTACCAGGACTCCCTGCAGAATGTGAGTACCCCTCCCCCCAAGGAGCTCCCAGGGCTTGGATGAGGGCCCCACGTCTTCAGAGTCCTCACTCCGCTGCACACCGGAGCCGGAGGTCACGCAGGCCACTGACCCTTCGTGGGCCACGTGGTGGTCAGGGCTGTGGTGTTTCCAGTTCAGACGAGTGCAGCTGTGAGCTCCCTCAGTCCCCTGTGGCTGCAGGCCAGCACCTGCCTTCTGGCCTCACCCTCCCAGGAAGGGCCTTGGGCCCCGAACCCTTGGAACCTTGTACAGACCCAGCATGGCGGTTGAGGCTAGCTCAGGGTGACGCTGTCCGTTGTCAAGCAGTGTCCCGGAGGGCCGGCAAACGGACTCCTGCGGACGAGGAGCTGGGGTGGGGGTGTGGGGTGTGGTGTGGTGTGTGTGGGGGGCTGCCCCTGGCTTGGGAATGCAGGGGCAAGCTGCTGTATCTGAGTCACGCACTTGAGACATCAGCTCCGGGCCCTGGGGTCATTCCCGGGTCTCTGCCGGCACCTGGGCTCGGGCCTGCCCTGCTGGGTGGGAGGGGAGGGGCGGGAGCTGGCTCCAAGGAGCGGACTCCTGGGTGGACACGTCCCCACGTTGCTGAGCCCTGGCAGATGGGAGAGCAGCAGGTGTGATGGGCAGATCCGCCCACAGCCACTGGGGGAAGCTCGGCCCCTTGTCTGCACCAGGAGGACAAGGAGGCCCCGCGGCCTTTGGGTGGTCGTGAGGCTGGTGCGAGTGGCCCTAAGAGCTTGACCTAGCTACATGACGGACGCCCAGTGGGGCCAGCTCGGCCTGCATGTAGTGGGCGCCCAGTTGGGTGGGTGCTCGACCTGTGCGTGGTAGATGCTTGGTGGGTGCTGGTTTTGGCCCAGGATGGTCTGCAGGGTTCCTGGACGGGCGTGCTTCTCGGGGTGTGTGCTGTCGCCGCTGCCCCTTCCTGCCCTGCCCTTCCCGGGCCCCGGTGCTGGCAGAAGAGGGCAGGGTGTGGCTGGCGGCCGGCCCAGGCTCTGCTGGGTCTCTCCTAAGCCCTTCCACCTTCTTCAGGAATGCAGCGGCAGCAGCCCTGTGAGGGCAGCGTCCAGATATTTACCAGGAGCCCAAGGCTCAGGGGCCTCTCTGCTGCCTGGTACAGGGCCCCAAGATGGCCAGCAGCGGGGGGTTCCACCGGTCATTTCCTGGCCTTCGTCCTCCGAGTCTCCGTGGGATGATGATAAGAGTGGCAGTGAAGTGTGCGCTTCCTGAGTGGTGTGCACCACGAGCCCTGAGTGACCTGCAAACTGGAAAGTCCGGCATGTGCTGGACCAGGCTGCCAGGTGCAAGGAGACGAGCTGACTTGGGGTTCCCCTCAGGTCTCCCAGAGAGGGTGCCCCAGGCCTGGGCTGAGAGGCCTCGAAACCAAACTCATTGCCACTGGATCGAATCCGACTCACAGTGCCCCCCACTGGTCTTCTGAGGCTGTAAATCTTTGTGGGAGTAGATTGCACCATCTTCCTTCTGCTGAGAGGCTGGTGGGTTTAAACTGCCGCCCTTTTGGGTAGCAGCTGAGTTGCCTTGTCTACTACACCATCAGTGACCTCAGCAGTGCTGCCAAACTGTCCAGAAGGCCCGGAAGATTTTCCGGAGGAGCCTTGGAGGGTCTTCGTGTGCCTCCCCTCCTTCGTCCTCTCGAGCCTTGCACATGAGGGGCTGTCACCCCACTCTGGAGAGGACACAGTGAGGTCCACAGGACAGGGTCCACGCTTCAGGGTCCCGTGGTAGTAACCGCTGACACCTGGCTGATGTGGCTTGGCAGTCTCGGCCGGCGTGAGGCTGTGTTCCACAGGGGTTGGGAGTGGGTAGGGGTGAGCAGAGGGGCCAGCTGGCACTGGAGCTGGGCCAAGGCTAGTGTGCAGGGGCTCTGTGAGGACCTGGGACATCTTGGGAGGGACCACACCAAGTGAGGTGGCAGGTGAGGGGCTGGGGCTGGGGCTCGCAGTCCAGGCCTTTTGGCATGTTCCTGGGATACCGAGCCCTTCCTGGGCCTACAGGACCCAAGTCCAGTGCTTCAGCCCAGGGGAGGCAGAGGGCCTGTGTGGGCACTGGTGTTTTCTGGGGTACAGGCCATTGAGGCTCTGAGGGTAGACAGTCCCAGGTCAGAGCGTCCAGATATAAAGGGCGACCCTGGACCTGGCTGACTCTTAACGGGGTATGAGGCAGTGTACCCCTCAGTCCCTGAGAAGGGACTGAGATTCTGACAGGCTCCTGGGAGAAGGTGGTTGCCCTACTTTTTTTTTTTTTCCAGTCATTTGACTTTTTAAAAGCAAACGTACAATTCCGTGGTTTTCAGTGTAGTTGCAGGTAAACCACAATCTACTAATCTAGCCAGTCTACTTCAGAGCGTCCTCATCGGCCCTGAGCGGTTCCCGCCTCTCAGCAGTCACTCCCCGTTCCTCCCATTTGCAGCCCTGGCAGCCACCAACCTGCTTGTGTGGTTGTCTCTCTGGACGTTCCCTGTAAGTGGAGTCACGCACCTTGTCTCGTGTCCAGCTTCTTTCCTCTCACAGTGTGTTCGAGGTCTGTCCACGCCAGGCCTGTACCTGTACTTGGTTTCTCTTGGTGGCTGAGCGACAGGTCACTGCGTGGAGGGACACACTGTGTTTGCCTGCCACCCGTGGCTGGACATCTGGCTGCTTTGCCCTTTGGGCTGTCACGAACAGTGCTGCTGGTGTTCTATACGGGTTTCTGCTGGACGGACGTCCTCAGTTCCCTCAGGAATCCCAGCCCTGCCTTCAGGGCGCCCCTGGGGCAGATGGGAACACTGAGGCCACACACAGGGTCTTCCTCTAGGACACGTGTACGGGCTCCCTGGAAGGTTCCCAGCCAGAAGGTGGCACTTGGTGCCTCCCATACATGTGTGTCTGGCGCCCCCTGCTGGCTGGCGGGGAACCCTTGCCTTCAACCGCAGGCTGCTGGCTTTGCTTTGTGCTGTGGCCCCGGACACCCTCTAAAAATCCCTGCTTGGTTTCCTGACACAGTGGACCAGAGATGGGGCAGCCCAGCCCAGGCTCAGTGCTAGTGAAATAGCCGCTGCCAGGCAGCGTCCCCCAGGCTCACGTAGGCACATGGGGCACGGGGCCCTGGACCCACTCTGGAAACGGAGGCTCAGAGGGGTCCATGCCCAAGCCCTGTCTCTGGGCCCCGTGGTGTGGACCGTCAGTGGTGGCAGCGTCCCCCTGCCCCATACCCCTAGCTGCTGCCCTGCCCCCGTGTGTGGCTCACTGCAGAGGGTGGGATGCTGGCCCGGGGAGTTTGCGGTCGGGAGGCTACCCCAGGCAGCTGGTCTCGGGGAGGGCACGATGTCCCTACAGAGTGTGGTCTTGGTGCTGGAGGTCCAGTCCTGGCCTTATCCATGAGCTTAGAGTGGCCCCTGCCCTGGGGCTGGCATCAGGGCCACACTGACCGAGAAGGGTGCTGAGACTTGGAGATGTGGGGGTGCCATCCACAGCATCCGCGTGATGTAGACCGCCCCCCCGCTTCCCAGGGCCCTCTCTCGGCCTGCACCCTCTGCCCGCATCCACTCCCCTCTCCCTGCTCTAGCCCCATCTCTTGCCTGGGCCTGGGCCCACACATTTGGGGTGCTCTCTGAGGCTCTGGTCACACATGTGGTCATCACCCCCAGGGCCCGGCCTGCCTCGAGCTGCCCTCCCCGCCTCCATCTGGCTACGGCTCTTCAGCACAGAAGCCTGAGGCTGTCATGCACGCCATGAAGGTAAGGCCAGGCCTGCAGCCCTCTGTGGGGCCTGGGATGTTCTGCTCCTCTCTGTTGGGGTGACTGAGGGGCTGTGGCCGCCAGAAGCATGTGGGGGGGATCCCGAGGCTCCCTGGGGTGGCCAGCAGAGCTGCTGCGGCTGGGAAACAGGCTTGGGGTGGGCCAGGCAGCCCCAGGCCAGGGAGCGAGGGCCAGAGAGGCTGGCCGCTGGCTGCCAGGTGCAGCGGGGCCCTGGGTATACGACACACCTGGAGAGACACGTCCCCGCCATCCCCTGCTCCCCACCTGTCTGTGGACAGCTGCAGTCCTCACCCCCCACCCATGCAGATGCTCCCACACCCTTCCATCGGCACAGACACAGCACACGTGCGCCCCAGGCCACACGCACTGTCGAGTGCAGGAGCATGGTCATCTTCACGGAATCTGCGTGCCCCTCACCGGGAGCCCCATCTGGGGGTCTGAGGGACGTCCTTCCCACCCGGCCTGCCCTTTCCCGGCGCTCCGTCTCCAGCTGTGGCCTCAGGGCGAGGGGCGATGCCTTCTGTGTCCAGCATCCTCAGTGCTGCAGGGGTGAGGGGGGGCAGCACGGCCTCAGGACGTCTGGCCCTCATGCCCCAGGCCTGTCCCCCAGGCCGTGAAGCGTCCGTGCGCGGGAGAGGGAGGGCGGGGCGCCAGTGACGCTGTGCTGCCCGCAGGTCCTGGAGGTGCACGAGAACTTGGACCGGCAGCCCCGGGACAGCTGTGAGGAGGATCTCACTGAGAAGGAGAAGGCCATCGTCCGCGAGATGTGCAACGTGAGGCGCCTCCTGGCAGCGGCGCGAGGGGTGGGGGAGGTGCCCACCCGGCGCCCACCTGCCCAGCAGACCCTCTCCACTGGAGGCCCTGGGCCTTGCCTGCCATCACCCCACTGCCTTCTCTTCCCGCCCGTCCAGAGAGGGCCGCGTGGCCTCCGTGCACAGGGCCTTGGTCTCAGCATCCCGCCCATCACTGGGAGTGCCGGGCCTGGGGCTCTGGATGGCCTTGTCTCCCCAGCACCCAGCCCCTTTGCCGGTCCCTGGTGTCCCCCTCAGGAGCTCTGGTGGTGCAGTGGTTAAAGCATTCAGCAGCTTACCAAAGCCCCTCTGCAGGAGAAGGATGAGGCGGTGGGCTTCCCTGAAGCCTTGGAAACCTCTGGGCAGTTCCACTCTGTCCTCTAGGGGCTCTGTGGGTCAGAACGGCCCCTATGGCAGTGGGTTGGCCTCCCAGCATGTTGGTGCCCCCTGCTGGCTGCCTGCAGGGCACGCGTCACTCAGAGCTGAGGTGCTGGGCCTGGGGGAGTAGCCTTTAGGCCCACCTGGAGACCATCTCATTCCAGACTCAACCACACAGCATTTTCCCAGAAGGAGACCGAGTGCTTTATAGGGTTGATCCTCAGAAAATGAGGGTGTGTTCTGAGCCCCCGCCCACGGTGCCTCCTGGGGAGCCATGGGGCAGAGAGCTGCTGGGTGTCTGCTGCCGCATGCGGCCTCGGTTTCCCCTCTGGCACGGCAGCTCGGGACTCGTGTTTTTGCGGAGTGGCGGCCTGCAAAGAGGGCCATTCATCTCTGACCCCTACCCCCACAGGTGGTCTGGCGAAAACTGGGGGACGCCGCCAGCTCCAAGCCCTCCATCCGGCAGCACCTGTCTGGGAACCAGTTCAAGGGGCCTTTGTAGGCGGTTGCGCCGTGGACGCGCGTCGGACACACACGGGTGGGCAGGGCCTCGGCGGAGTGCTGGCTTCTTGTCCTGGTGAATTGTACATAGGACGCTGCCCCGGCTGCCCGGCTGCCTCTGCATCCCGCCCCTCGCACCCCAGTGAGCCGGATGAAGAAAACCGCTGCCTGCTGTCGGCACGGGGCTGCCGCCTGGACTGGCTTACACCCCCTGGCCCGGGCCCCACGCCTGTGTAACAAGGTGCCAGGCCCAGAACGGTCACAGGCTTTTGTGTCCTAGCCCTGGGGCAGGGGCAACTCAGCAAACCCCCCACCACACCCCCCCTCCTGCCCCCAGGATCCTGACACGGGTGGCTCACCTCCTGCCCACCTGCCCGGCCCTGCGTGGTGGGTCCTGGGACAAGGAGGCAGCTGAGCCTGGGCTGCTACAGGCCTTCCTCCAGCCTCCAGCCCCGCTCTTCTCTGCATCGCCCCGCCCCAGCCTCCCTGCCCCGCCCCCTCCGGTATCCCCCGGCCGGCCCCACCCCTCCTGCATTCCCCAGGTCGGCCTACGCCTGTGAGGCCCCATCGGCCCTGACCCCACCTCTCCCTCTTTATTGCCCCGCCCCGGGCCCGCCCATCCCTGTGCATTGGCCCTCCCCCTCTCCGTTGCCCCGCCCATCCCTGTGCATTGCCCTGCCCTGGCTCCACCCTGTGCCAGGTGGTGCCCTCGCCTTCCTGCCCAGCCAGACACCACCTTCTGTGGTTCACGTGAGGGGCCGGGGCACAGGAAGGCCCTGGGGGTGGTTTCTGTGCCCACCCACATGCACCTCCTGTAGGGCACTGAGCCAGGCTGGGCCTCTGGTCACCTGTGGCCTCCCTCCGGCCGGGCACTCCCTGGACTGCTGTGGACAGAGCTGCAGGTGACCACTGCCGAGCCTGCTTTAATTTGCCTTGTGACCTTCAGCAGGTCACTGAGCCTGTCAGAGGCTCCCTGCAGCCGTCTCGCAGTCCATGGTCTGGGCGGCTGTTCACCTTTGCCTGAGGGGTCAACCTGCCTGAGTGCCCTCTGCTGCCCTGCTGCCTCCTTGCCGCGGACATTCACCTCCCCCTCTAAGCCTCACTGTCCTCAGCTGTAAAATGGGTGGCTTGAGCCCCTCCCCGCAGGGCTCTGGGTCTGCAAAGAGACCTCCCGTGTAAATGGCCGTGTATAAACTGTAAAAGTGCTCTAGGAATATTTTATTATTGCATGAGGAAAATGGGGCTCAGAGTGGGTACGTGATTTTGTGCACATAAGAAACAAACACTCTGGGGGATACAGATGGCAGTGCCTGAAGTATGCTAGCATGTGGGTAGGCCGTGCCTGACATGTTACCGGCATGATACTGTTTCGGCCCAACCCTGGGGTCTACACGCAGGCTCAAGTCACTTGCTGCTCTGTCCTCAGTCTCGCAAGTGTGTGAAGCGCCCAAGAGGCGGGCTAGTAGCCCCACCTGGTGTCAAGGAGGGGACCAGGGCCAGGGGAGGAGGTAGCATAGCATCCCTGTCCCTCTGCTGGGCTGGGGCCCTTCTACCCAAGCCTGTGGGCTGTGTCTTCAGGGGAGACTCCTGTCCTCCTTGGGTCCAGGCAGGGCTGCTGGTGGGTCCTAAGGACACCTCTCGGGGTGCTTTCTGGAAGGGTGTGTACTTGAGGTTAGGTGGACACCCACTGGTCATAGTTCTGTAGGATTCCTGCCCATGCGGGCCAATGGGCCAGGGGTGCAGAGGCCCCTCCAGGGTCCTGAAGCCCAAAGAACCTCAGAGCAGCCCTGAGGGATGGGGTACACTATGGGTGGCAGCTCTCGGGGGGCCATTAGAATCACGTCTGCAGAGCACTGGCTTGGCCACCACCAAAAATAAGCAATAAGGGCCAGTGACCTAGTGGGAGCCCACCCCTCAGAGGGATCCAACTCCCCAGTCCCGCAGCAGCACCAGGGGCTGGGGCGAGCACCTGAGAGCCTGCCTGCATGCGGGTGGCACTTGCCCCCACACTGCCACCTGAGCTAATGCATTCAGGGTGGCCTTCTAGGACACTGCGACAGGTGCATCGCAAACTTAATAAGCTGTTGAAAAAGGCAACAGTGACTACCTGGCCCACGGACCCCGGCACAGGTTGGCAGTTGCAGGTAGCCTGGCACTGGGGAGGGTCAGGTGAGGGTGGGCCAGGAGGCCACAGCTCAGGGCACTAGGAGGGACAGTGTGCCAGGTACAAGTGAACCCCTCCCCCAGCTCTCTACAAGCCCAGGTGGGGTGTTGCTGACCTTGGTGTCCTTTCAGGGGGTCCCCGTCCCTTTCACATGCTCTGGTTCCGGACCCTGAAGCCCAAGGTGCCAGCTGCCCTTGGGTTTCTTGCCCACTGTGACGTCACTCTCCCGGTGGCCTCGCCCACCCTGGATTCGGAATCTGCTGAGCATTTTAGGCACATTTTTACCTGAGACTTCGTAGCTACACGCCAGTGTTCAGAGAGAAAAAGTGACCTTTCGTTTTTTTTTTTGTTGTTGTTCTTGAAACTTGAGAGGAAACAAACTACTACTGATTTCTTTCTTTTTTAGAGAAACTAAATGCATGACCGAGCAGTAGAGTGGTCTATTTTTCATAATGGGGGGTGGGGGACTTGTGCTGCTTTTTGGAAGTGGCTGCAGTCAGGCTTCCGCCGGGGCCAGCAGCTGCTGTGTCTTCTGTCACCGGGGACAGAGGTGAGAAGAAGCCCTTGCCCCCAGGCTCTGTGAGAGCCGGAAGCCAGAGGACTTTCCACTGAACCACTTCAATTTGGGGAGAGAAACAGACCGTTTTTTAGAGTGTGGTGACCACACTTATCTCAACTATTTTAGTAAAGGAGCCGAGACTGTGATAGTGTCTACTTTGAGCTAGAGAAATAAAGGCCTGTTTGCAAGCCTCCCTGTGCACCACCTGTTCATTTGTGGGGGACTGGGCCCCTGGGAGGCCTGGTGGGGAGGGGGTGGGGGCAGGCTGACGCCTGGGGGCTTGAGCAGAGTGCGTCGCTGGGCCCTCAGAGACCACTCCTGCCAGCAGGATGCAGTGTGAACACTGGGGCCTAGGCCTCGGGAACACTGGCAGGGCCACCACTCACCCTGGCAGTGTTCCGGGAGACAGGTGAGGCCAGCGCCCCTGCCCTCCCCACAGCAAGCACAGGGCTGTTTCATAACCGGTTTTATTTGGAGTACGCAATGGAAGGAGAACCGTTTGTAAGGAAGCTGGAGTTCACAGTCTGTCGTTACACTGACACGAAGCAGACCTCTGTATAGCAGTCTTCTTGCAAGGACACCTCCCCTTGTCCCTGGAGGAAAAGCAATAGCTGCCCACAAGGTAAGCCCTTGGGAATAACTTTAATACAAAGGATGTCAGTACTTATAAACCAAAGGCGAGGTTCTTCTGACCTACTGGGTGTCACGGGAGAACATCACCGAAGGAAAATGAAGATGCCGACTTGGAGGGAACTGGATTACTGAGAAGGGAGTTTCCAGGGAAACAGGCACTGACGCCAGGCTGGCCGCCACTCACTGCGGCGAGCCCCTCAGCCAATGTGGCCGGCTAACGTTCTCGCCAGAACAAAGTCCTCCAGCGCAGCCTCTCCAGTGACGCTCAGGTCAGGTGCACAGGCTGCCCCAGCCAGCGCGTCCTCGCTCCAGAGGGAGGGCCTCCCATCCCCATTTCCCTCTTTCCTTCCCCCCGCCACTATACTTCATGCGTGGGACCCTGCTGCCCCCACGTCACCCATTCTTCAAGTTGATCAGAAAAACTTGTTTTTAAAAAAGGACAGAAGGTGGCAGGTTATCTCATCCAGGCTGCCCGCCCGAGGCCCCCAACGGGGGGCATGCCAGGTGGGGGAATTGGGGGGGGCACTGGGGGCTGTCCCCCTGGGGGGACAGCTGGGGGCGGGTAGCTGGCAGGGGGCAGGCCCAAACCTGGAGGAGGGTGAGGTGGGACAGCATGGGTGGGGGGCAGGCGTGGGGGAGGGGGTGGGAAGCTGGGGTTGTAGGTGGGTGGAGGAGGGGGGTAGCCAGGTGTGGGGGGAGGGATAGTGGGTGGAGGAAAGGAGGTGGGGGGTGGGGGCACTGGGGGCGGGGGGGGGTTGGGGGGGTAGACGTGGGGGTGGTAGGGCAGGTGGGCGGGCGGGCCATAGGCAGGGGGCAGAGCGCTGTAGGCGGGACCCTCTGTCTTCATGATGGACTGCAGGCTCTGATACCCCTCGCCCGACATGTAGGAGCTGGTGGTGGACATGCCGGTCATGTAGCTGGAGGGAGGTGGCGGTGGGGGCCGGTGTGGGAGCGGTGGCGGCTGGTGCACGGGTGCCGGGTGGGCCGGCGGGGGAATCTGGACTTTGGGGAGGTCACTGGTATCCACAGGGCCCGGCGGCTCAGCCTCACCCAAGGCAGCTGCGAGGGGAGGCTTCCGGTCTGCAGAGGAGAGAAACCACCCAGCAGTCAGTCTGTCTGGCCCGGAAAAGCATCTGCTCTGTTTTCAGAGCCACGCAGGCCAAGGGCTGTCCGCCACTGATGTGGGGGCCCGGCCAGGAGTTCGAGCACAGTGGCTTTCACCACCTTCCCATGGCCGTTCCCCAGGCCATCCTCCCAGAGGGATGGCAAGCAGCGCTACCATGGTAACAGGGATCAGGCCTTGGTCCCAGCCATCACAACTCACCCCTGGCCTGTCCTATGGACCTTCCATCTTCCCCAACCACACCTGCCACCAGCTGGCTTTGCAGAACTCAACACAGGGTCGTGAGTGCCCCCTCCATCTGTCTGTCCATCCATTGGAGTGTCTCTGCCCTGTGGACTGGGCACTGAGGGCCATGGTGCATGGCGGATACAGCCCAGCCTCGAGCAGAAGGCCTGAGTCAGCCATGTGAATGAGGGGTACCCAAGAAGGTAATGTGCAGGCTGGAACAGCCCCAGTGGACCCCACACGGTCACAATTCTGCTTCCGTTTCATAGAAAGTGAGAGAGATTAAACGCTGCAACTTCCTCTCAGAATGCAGTTTCCTCAAAGGATGAGTGTGTGTGGGTGGGGAGGCAGTGCCTGGCCCCAGCATCCCTGGACGCTGCTCTCTGAAACCCCTGTGCTCAGCCTCCACTGCAGGGCCCTGAGGCCCAGGCCCCCTGTGTTGGAAGCTCATCTAACAAAAGTCTGTGCTCAAGACCTCCTCAGTCATGGCCAGACCCCAAAATGACACCCACTCCCCACCAGGGAGCCGGTGCTTCCAATGGGGACCCTGAGACTGCACCCACACCCCACTGGGGAGCCAGTGCTTAGAACAGGTGTTTTTCCAGGCAGCAGAGCCACGAACAAACCATTTCTGGTCTCTGGAGAGCAGCATGGAGAATGGCTCCAGGCCTTAAGCCACAGCCCCATCCAAGGTCCCTGGAGTGCCTCTTGGCAGGCAGGGCTGGCACCTGTCCTGACTGCAGATGAGACCTGAGGCACAGAGCGGCAACCCGCCTGGGGTCACATGGCTGTGGCAAGGACCAGCTGTGGACCCCATGCCGCTCTGGCTCCCTCCGGCCACAGACCTGTCCCTGGGCCTGCTGTGCAGGCCAGCACCCCATCTTCGAGGCAGGAGGTCACACACACTTGCAGAGAACCTGCTCAGGGCCAGGCCCCCATTCTAGTGGCTGACTAGGGACACTGCACTCAAGGTCAGTGCAGGAGGGCACCGGCCGTCCTCATGTCCTCCAGGGCTACCCGCACGCACACCCATCTCTCAGCAACCCGCTTCCTCGACACGAGGCTCTGCGCCCTCTCCGGTCTCTGGTGCTTTCTCACCATCTTTAGTGACTGGGCGTGAACAGAAAACGGTTTCTCGTGAGCACCTCCACATGTTTTCACACTTGCTCCGACATGCGCTGCTGCAAACACCTACCCAAACGCCCCTCCCCCAACTCGCTGGGCGTCACCGAGATGGCAGTCCGCCGCCACTTTTCCTATTCGAACAGCACACCCCCGCCCCCCGGACCCTGCTCCTCTAGTCCTTTCCTGGTCTCCCCTTTTGTAATATACTTCCAGACATGCTCACCAAGACCCTTCCCTGTGAACCCGTGGCTCCATGGCAGGCCCTGCCCTCAACCTGCCCCCAGTCCTCTCCAGCCTCTCTCTCCCCAACACACTATTCACACCCAGCCACCAGCCCAGGGAATAACTGGGCCAGGGGAGCTGCTAAGGAGGGCTCGCCCAATGCCACAAGGGGTGTCATCTCTACTTCCTGGGAGAGGCTCTCCCCATGTGTCCGAGTGCACACAGAGCAGGCCCTGACTGCTCTGCTACCACGGACTGTGCCCGCCCACAGCGCTACCTCTCCCTGCGCACCTGACCGTGTGCACAGTGGACGCCAACTGCTCTGGTCCCACAGTAACTGACCGTGGGCACAGCAGGCCCTGACTGCTCTGCTACCATGGACTGTGCCCGCCCACAGCGCTACCTCTCCCTGCGCACCTGACCGTGTGCACAGTGGACGCCAACTGCTCTGGTCCCACGGTAACTGACCGTGGGCACAGCAGGCCCTGACTGCTCTGCTACCATGGACTGTGCCCGCCCACGGTGCTGCCTCTTCCTGCGCAGCTGACCGTGTGCACGGTGGACCCCAACTGCTCTGGTCCCTCGGTAACTGACCGTGGGCACAGCAGGCCCTGACTGTCCATGGTGCCGCCTCTCCCTGTGTGCCTGAGCCCATGCGTCTGAGCCCATGCACAGCACCTCTCCTGCACCTGAGCTCTGAGTCCTCACCAGGCCAGAGACAGAGGAGATGCTTCACAAATGCTGAGTGACTTATGCCCACTTTTCCGGTAAGGCTCATACCAAATTAGGGGTTGGGAGATTTGGCCTCAAGTGGAGAATGATGCTTTTGTCCCTGCAAAGCTTCTAAAGCATCCTGACAGGGACAAAGGACTTCTCACAGGCACGCTACGAGCCGACCAGCAACAGGGGCTGCACGTGGGCCGAGGTGCCACCAGTGGGTACAGAGAAGTCTCAAGCCCAGCCGAAGCCCTCAGGAGACAAGCAATGCCTGCCTTCCCGAGTGCCCCACCCTCTGAAACAGCGCTCTGCCCACTGTGAACCCACCCTCGTCTTTAGGAAGCACCCAGTTTCACGATGGACCTGTGAGGACACTCCGCTCTGTAACTGTGCTCCACGAGACTCTGAACAACTGCCACACAGACTGACAGGATGCCCCGCTGACAGGAAGCAGTCCCACTTGGCTTTTGAAATATGCTCGTTGACAGGCAAGGTTTTGCTTTCCAAAAACGGGTTCTCAATTCACTTATCCCAGTCAGTTCAGGGGAAAGCTCTGACGGTGCAGTGGTTAATGCATTCGGCTGCTAACCAAAAGGTTGGCAGTTCAAACCTACTAACCGCTCTGTGGGAGAAAGATGATGGGGCAGTCCTACTCCGTCCTCTAGGGGCGCTGTGAGTTGGAATCAGGGAACACTGACCGTCCATGGCACTCAGAACATGCGAATGATCTCATTTGTAAAATTCAAGCCTGAAAGGTCCTTGGTCCTCAGTGTCTTTTTCTGGCTGCCGTGGCCCCTCCGTTGAGTGCAGCCCCAGACCGCCCCCAGTCTGCCCTCAGGCACACAGAGCCGGGCATCACGGGGAGGCCATGCTCTGAAGACCTACCTGGAGGTGGGTGGGCTGGAGGCAGTGGTGGGTGGGTAGTCTCGAGTTTGGGTATTTTAGGTGGTGGTGGTTCTAAAAAGAAAAAGAGAATTAAGACACACTCACAGCTCCTCATGTGGATAAACATGCGGGAAGGAGACATTACTGGTCAGGTAATTTTTCTTTTTTTTTGAAAAAGAACAAATGTGACAAAGTCTGAGGGGAACACACAGAAGGTGAAGCTGACCCATTATGGACGAGTGTGATCCAAACACCACCCCACCAGGACCTCGCCGGTGCGTCACAGCGAGACCATTTTCCATGTCTCTCCCAATTGTCTTGCCAGCTACCGTGGACCAGGTCTTCCACTGCTGTGAGAACAGCAGGGTAACAGCTCAGTTGCCAAGTGTCACTTATCTGGTGTCCTCACTAGGGCATACAGTTCAGGGGACAGCTCTGCCTTCCCGAGTTGCCCCACCCTCTGCCCATTGTGACCCCCGCCCATCTTTAGGAAGCATCCAGTTCCACGATGGACCTGTGAGGACACTCTGCTCCGTAACTGTGCTCCATGAGACTCTGAACAACTGAGGGGACAGGCCCCCAGAGGCCAATGTCATGTTATCCTCCAAGACTTCACAGAGGAAGCTCCATGTTCACTTGTACTCAGACACTTTGTGAGATTCCTGTCTCTCACTAATGTTTCTCTCCAGCTGCCAGCATGTCAGAGCAGCTATTCACCAGGGTCAGGAGGGGGCTGGAGGCAGGCATGCTGATGAGGAAGAATGCGACAGACACAGCAGTTGGGGCCGCTCAGGGTGGAGGGACTAGCCCCATGTGTGCGTGCCTACGCCCGCCCCCCCACGCCCAGCTCTCGCGAGGCGAGCAGCCGCATCCACAATGACAGTGCTGAGTCACCAAAAATGCCGTGTGAATCCAGAGTCTTCCACTGAATCAGGCTGAGAAGGAATTCCATCTTTTTGTCCATTCCCCCCTATGTTTTGGCTTTGGCTCCCTGAAACCCCTTCAGTCTGGCCTGTGCAGCACCGGTGTTCACTCGCCTCTTCCTCGGGTCTCCTTATTCCAAACACAGGCCTGCTGCGATGGGCCACACTGAGACCTGAAGAGCAGTGTCAGTGCAACAGCTCTCCTACAATTATAACCCGCGTCACCCAGCACATCCTGACTGACCCTGCTGTCTTTGGAATCCACACCTTCTGTCAGAGCTCTGTCTAAACACACACTCAGGGCATAAAGAGGGACGACAAGCCATGTTTGCTGGCCGACAGAGAAAGTCATTGGTGGGCTCCAGGCTGAAGTCTGAGGACCACGCAAAGGAAACAACATTTACGAAGGGAACCAATGAATCTTGTGTTTGACTCCAAAGACATGGAAACCACAGACTCTGGGGCAGGCCTTACCTGCTGTTTTGTTCTCTTCTTTGGGAGAAACCACCTGTTAGGAAAGAAAGTAGGGCCTGTTAGCAAGAGCTAAGTCAGGACAAACGGACTACCCAGGTGCTCCCAGAATCATGACAGAGACTTGGTCACGACAAAGATGACTCTTGGCCTGAGCTTGCCGGGCAAACCATGGCACCTAACGGATCGTTTCTGCTTTGGCATCAGACAGGATCATCAGCTTCTCTCCATAGTGCGGCTGTGCAACACTGCCTCCAGGGCCTCTCAGGCACCTTCCTGAACTCTGGTCCGTGGTGCTGGCTGTCGGGTGTGTTCCACATGGCTACCCTAAGGGGCTGTGCCCTGACAGGTGGGCGCCCCTGCAGGAGCTCCCCTAGGGGGCTGCGCTTCAATAGTTGGGTCCCCCTGGCAGGGGCTTCCCTGGGGGCTGTGCCCTGACAGGTGGGCATCCCCAGCAGAGGCTTCCTAAGGGTGCTGTGCTCCAAGAGATAGGCCCCCCGGCAGTGGTATGTTTCCACTACTAGAAACTTTCACAGATACCATGTCACTCTGAGACCTAACTCCACCAGCACGCATGGTAGAGCCAGAGACCTGAAGGGACAGCTGTCAGAGCCTCCACCTTGCTCCTCAGGGCACACTTGCTCTCAGACACTCCCTCCCCCGACACACAGTCAGATCATTGGGCTAGGTGGGCATCCACCGGCACGTGGTGTCCTGTGGGACAGCACCCAGGCGTGGCTCTGCACCCAGAGCTTACGGTCCCCAGCCCCAGTGCACTCACCACGGCTCGCTTGGCCTGTCTGGGTGGACTTGGCTGCGGGGATGGTTTTTTTGGTGGTTGTGCCTGCTGCTGCTGCGGGGTGGGCGGCTGGCCGTCCTTCTGCTGGGCCTGGGGTGGGTCGGCGCCTTGAGGTGGCTGTGGCGGTGGCACTGGGGGCACTTGTGGTGGGGGCTGCAGTGATGGGGGCTGCTGCAGCTGGTGGGGGGTGTGGTGGGGCATCTGCTGCTTCCCTTGTGAGTAAAGGTCCAGGATCTGGTGGCAGATGTCTGCAGGACGGGCGACAAGGACGTCTGAAGTAACACGTCACCTGGGAAATACCTAGACCATTCCCTTTCCTGCCAAGATGCCCCGACAAGGACTGATAAGCTGATGTTACACCTGCAACGTGCCCAATTTCTGCAGTGCTCAACTACTGATGTGAATTTCAATTCACCAAACTGTGTATTTGGGCAAAGTGGAAGTTCAGAAAATCTCACTAAAGCTGCTGATGAAAAAATAGCTCACAGCCACCCTCTTGGGAAAGACTGCTCTTGGGACTCGGGTTTCAAGGAAGAATGTTTCTGCAAGGAACACCCTCCCACAAAGCCCAGTGTGCCCAGTACCTTCCAAAACGTCAACAGGGACGTCTTGAACAAACTGCTCCCACCATCTCCTGTACATGGGTTTAGAGGTCCATTCCTGTATTTCAAATTTGCACAAACGTCCTGCCAGGTACATCACGGCCACCGCTATGATCTCTGGCTCCCACTGCAGTGAAAGGGTGGTGCAGAGACTGCCAACCAAGAAAGAAAGGTGACGGGGCCGTCAAGATCAAACAGGTTAACCTAGTCCCAGGTGCTGGATCCTACAGCTACACTTTATTTCCTAAGTCTTCTCCAAACGTGATCAAATAAAGTAATATACATTAAAAATTAAAAAAAATCTTTGGTTCCCTAAAGAGACCAAAGTAAGTTACTAATTTGTCTGCTCCCTAACAAGTGAGCAGAATACTAGCACATTCACAAACTGCTGAAACCCCAGTCACTGAACTCTTTCTTTAGGTGAAATCCTAAGGGAAGTCACAGTTACATACATCCAGTCAGAGACTGCTGGGGCCATGGGCTTGGCAGGACTGCAACTCTGCCCACAGGCTTTCTGTCCCTACGCTGGCCACTCACCAGACCTCTGGGCTCTCAGGACAGTGGCGCTCTAAAGCCAGCATGAGGAGGTCTGTTTCACAGGAGCAGCTGGGCTCTAAGTACTCAGCTGGCAGAATTCCCCAGCGTCTTGTTTGGACTTAGGTTTCACGCTGGTGATATGATTTTAGTCTCTCACACCGCCACAGTGTGTCAGAGCAGAAGGAAACCCTCTGCTGGGAGGTGAACAACCCAGATGACAGCCCCAGCTCAGCTGCTAACTAGATCTCTGAGCTGAGGCTGGTCAGTTTCCTGACACAGCATGAGGGGTTTGGCTTGGATAATGCATAAAGTCCCCGCCTACTTTAACATAGTACAATTACACCAAGGTTTGAACACATGTACCTGTCGTTTACAAACGTCCACGCCATTTGAACCAACTTTTGAATTTTGTTTTTATCACCTAGGAATGAGACGAAAGGTAAATTAATAGCAACATAAAAACAGAGAGAATTCACACAAAGCACTCATTCCGAGCCTCCCGGGGGCTGTGCCCTGTCTCCCCACACACAGCAACATGCTCTGGCATGGCAGCCTCGCGCATGAGGACCGTGCCTACTACCATCCTTTTTCTGCATGTGACCCAGGCTGAGCCTCCACTGCCAAGAAGCCCGGCTCCGAAGCTAACTTTATGAGGCTGGTCACAAAACGCTGACTCATTTTCCTGACTCCAGTCACTTGGTAACTGGATGAAAGACTCTGCTCAGGCACAAAAGGCAGCAGCGTGATGGCAGAGATGTCTGGGTGAGCCATTCTGTGAGGGGGTGTAACATACCCCTCTGCTTCCTCTCATGAGAAGCATCATCGGAGAGCCATCAGATCATAAAGACTTGATTCCAGAAGGAGAAAGTTCTTTCAGTACCTTTTCTTCCCCTTACCTTTGAGTTGTTTTGCATATTTCAGCAGAAATTGGTACGGGTGCTCCACCTGCAAGTCAAACTTTATGGTCTGCAGTAAGATCCTCTCCAGGACCATCACCTCCTCCTGAAAATGAAGGAACAAGGTGGGGCCAAGACTCACAACCACAGGTCTCACTGAGCAGGGCAAAGTGAGCTTTCCTGCCTGCTGCTTCTCCCCTCAAAGACTGTTTTAGTGACTGTTTCCCCAGTTCCTCACCCTCATTGGCAGGAAGACAGCATCATTTGCTCTTTTATTAGAAAGGCTACCTCCATCACACACTGACCCATCTGTGTGCTCCCGTGTGGGCACCACCATGCCACACACAAAGCTCGCTTCTTTTCACCGATCCCTTTGTACCAGATCAAGGGGATGTAATACACAACAGTAGTTGTTCCATTATTCCTCTTTTTTCAAAAAATCTCTTCTTTTTGCCTGTTTTCTTCTCTACCTGAATCTTTATCATTTTACTTAGTACCATTCTAAAAAAAATAAAAGCTATTGATCTGCTTGGGGACTCACTGAATTCATGGGACAGTCTGGAGAAAACAGACATTTTTAACTGCACTGAGTCTCCCAATACTTCCTCATGAAGATCTTCTCTTGGGTCCTTTAGTGGCTTTAGAATTTTTTGGTTTTGTGTTTTCTACATGGTTTCTGCAAATTTCTTGTAAGGTTCGTTCCTGGACGGTTCACTTTCCTGTTGTTGCTGGAAGCAGAGACTCCTCTTTTGTTACACCTGCTAACTCTGTGCTGTCCACAAGCAGGTACTTCCCTGTATAAGCTGAATGCACCCAGCACTCAGAACACCTCAAACACAAGCAGAATGTCAATGAAGGAGAAGCACTTGCCTGGCGGCAGAGAGGAAAGGGCTCTGTGGAGTGCCATTGCTGACAGCTGCATCAGCCCATCAACTCTGAGAAGAGCACACACAGAGGTGACGGGCTTTCACTGTCAAGTACGACATCACCCACAGAATGAAGAGGATCTGATGATGATTCAGCATTCCAAGTGCCGGTGAGACTCAGGCTGTTTGTTCTACGCTAGTATCCCAAGCGTTTCCTTATGAAAATGTTTTAAAGTCTTGGAAACTTCCACACAAAATTAAAGCCTGCTAAAACTGTATTTTATTTATTTATTTGGCCTGTTTGTGCCACCACCTGCTTCCCAGCAGCTTCAACTTTTCTTCTAAATTTAGAAACAGGCTTTTACCAGGTGTGCCGACTGGTTTCTGGACAGCACGCCACCCCTGGAACATTATCAGGGTGCATGGCCTGCCCACTCTCTGGGTTTCAAATGCCCTGTTAAGGGGGGATTAAAGGACTCTGCACCAACAGCACTGCCCAGAGAACCTGCCTGGGCCCCACACTGAATGCCCTCCCCGCACCTTTAAACTGGCCTTAAGCAAAGGTGTCACAGCCTATATTCAGGTAATGGTTTATGTGATAGTTTGATCACAATCTACACCCCTGCCCCCCCAAATTGTAGGGTTCAGGAGAGCAAAGCTACGTCTGTTTTGCCATGACCAGTGCCTGGAACTATCATTAACTGTACGACACACCACTATGGTGGGGAATTCTAAAAAAATCAGCTAAGGCAAATTTAATGAAGGCAAAAGCAGTGCAGCAGCCACCATTTTGACATGTGTTGCCTCCCCACAGTACTGTTCTCGTCTCTGCCAAGGAACAGGGCCTCACACATCTTCCACAACACTGTCACCAATCCCCAATCCAGGGTCCCTTCCTGCACGTGATAGAGAGGAAGGGGGCAGGGCCCTGCTTTAAGGGTTATTTTAACCATTCCCCTTTTCAAGTTTCCCACACCACTGTGTCCAGCTTGGGTCCTGGCTTCCCAATGCCATACAGCGGTGTAAGGGCTGGAAGTAAAGGGGGTTGTCGCCCAAGTACCCAGAGACAGCATGTGCCAGTTGTCACCCTGGCCCTGCAGTGTCCCAGGTCTTTTCCAGCTATGTCTCATTAACCACACAAGGAGATATGACCGCAGTACCACTTACTTCCACACTTGAACTGTTCACACCAAGTGCAGTTTCACTGTTCTATAAACATACACCCCATGGCATGGAAAGGTATTTTTATAGAGCTGACTTTTTGATTGTTGTTAGTGTGAACTCTTAATAGCTTCACAATGAGTAATATAAACAGGTAAATGGAAACAAATGGCTTTATAAGCCAGTGCAAGGGACAGAGTTACTCACAGTGACAATACTTAGACAGGATTAGCTCAGTCACAACCACAACACATGCAAAAAGATTCTGGGGCTCTGTGAAATCTGCACCGCCAACACACGGACACTTCCTAAATCCTGCTTGGCAGAGAGGATAATTCTGGGGGGAGGCAACACAAGCTAGCTAGGAGAAATAAGGCCTTAAATGGTGCCGAGCTTCACTGTCTTAGTTAGCATGGCTGTAACTGTGATTTTGAGTTTCCTCACAACATTAATTTGTCATTTACTCAACAAGTATCACTTAACGCCTACTCTGCCCAGCCACAGTACCAGGTGCTGAGCAAAACAGATGTGGTCTCTGCCTGCATGGATCTTACAGTGGAGAAGGGAGCCAGTTATTTACGTGATCACTTGATTATGAGCTGTGCTAAATGCTATGAAAGGTCATTAAAAGGTGCTATGTCAGGGAGACAGCTCAGGGCGCAGAAGAGTATGGAGGGATGGACACTGGGAAGAGGTAACTATGGGGAGGAAGTGGGAGGGGAGCTGTTGTATTGTAAATTTTGGTCAATGACATGAGACAAAGTATATGTGAACTGCTGTATGAAAAAGTGAATTTACTCTGTAAATTTTCACCCAAATCAAAATAAAATTAAAAAACAAAAAACAAAAAAATACACCCCTCCCCCCAAAAAGAAAAAAGGTGCTATGGGGAGTCCTGGTGGTGCAGTGGTTAAGCACTTGGGTGTTGACCAAAAGATTGGGATTCGAACCCATAGTCTCTGGTGATCTGCTCCCATACAGCCTCAGAAATCCTACGAGGCAGTTCTACTCTGGCATACGGGTTGCTGTGCAGTGGAATTAATGAGAAGACATTGAACAACAGCAACATCCAGGTCTACAAGAGGGGTCCTAGACAAGAATGAGGGTAAACGCTGCCACTGGTCCCTGAAAGTGTTATTTTCAGAACATACTAAATGCACATGTGCAATTACTGCAGCACTGTCTGCTGGCGCTGGCAGGGGCAGAGGGAAAGCATGGGATGGGTGGTATGGTGAGGGGCAATGTCTGGATGTCTGGAAAGTACTGCAAATGTACAATCTTCTTGAGATGCGGAAGACAGAGCCTATGCCAACACAATTCCTGTCTGATCCAGAAGCTAGCTGGAGGTGTTAAGTCCCTGGCACTGAACCCAAGAAGCTGGACTGCTTCTGGGTCTAAGAGAGCTAACAGCAGTCAGAGGATTTTGCTCATCTCCTTGAGATGTGCTACGTCCATAAAGTTCTCAGAACACAGCTTGGCGCATCAGGAAGTGTTATGTTAGTGCACATCACTGTCTCCCCTCCTCTCTTACAGAATGAAGGAAGACGCCTTCTAGAGAAGGTCCATCTAGGACCCACAGACTGGCAGATACAGGAGCCAAAACCACTGCCCATACCAGACAGACTGTATGCCAACGCTCCCACCGGGGTCAAGGTTGCCCACACCAGACGCCGTACGCTAACGCTCCCACTGGGGTCAAGGTTGCCCATACCAGACGCTGTACGCTAACGCTCCCACCGGGGTCAAGGTTGCCCACACCAGACGCTGTACGCTAATGCTCCCACCAGGGTCAAGGTTACAGGCAGAAGGTATGATTCTTACCTTTGGATCATCTCCAAATTGACCAAACTGAACATCATTTAATAAACTACGAGCTGTTTTGATGATATCTTTACATTTTTTGGGCGTTTCTTCTACTTTCCCAGCCAGAAATAGACAACAGGCTCCTGTCACCTAAAAAAGAGACAAAAGCTCCTGACATTTTGTTATATAAGGTCACCCAGACACAAAGCCAGGGCTTCTGGTCTTTGTTCTCCCACCTCCCTCTCTCTCAGCCTGAATGCTGGAAGGGGGGCTTACAAACATTCACACCTCCCCACCTCCTTACAATTCAGCTTCCCAAATTATTTTAAATTTTATTTTCTTAAGAAAGTGTCATGTGAACAAGGTAAATGATGAAAACTAAAAAAAGCCATGGAAAGAAATTTTCCTTTATATTCTAGTTAAAGATAATGGCTCCCCAAAGGGAGCTTTGCCAAAGAAGGAGCCCAACTGAAGCATGGGCCCCCAATTTCTTCCCTGCCCTCAGTCACCACTACCCCAGTGCAGTCCCTCCACTCCGAGCTCTCCCACTGCCCTGTCTGCAGCTTCCTCTGCCACCCAGTCCCTCCCACATGGGCCTCTAATGACAGACACCATGCCACACACACAAAGCTGATTCTGACGTGGTCTCTCTCCCTAAGGACCTCACAAGCTAGTGAGAAAGGCATACTTACAAAACACGGTAAAATCTCAGCAAAGGGAAACAGGATGACCTTTCTTTTACGTATAATTCTGGCATCTTCTTCATAGTATCTTTCAGTCATTTCACTCTTTACTTACTGAGGTCACATTTCCCCATGGTGGTCTGACCCAGCTCCTCTTTCACCCAGGGCTCCAGCTCCCCCTTCCTAGCCTCCTGGCTAGGCTGCTGACATAGCACCTGCATCCTAGCCACCATGTCTTTGCTCACCCGGGGCCCTGTCCCATCTCAGCATGTCTCGGTCCTACTATGGTCAAGGCTGGCACCTCCTCCCTAGGACTTTCCTGGATCCCGCTGAGATGTACCTAACCTCTCCCTCAGGCCATTCCCTACATCTGTACCTCTCCTAGGGCCTCCCTTTCAACCATGTGCTTGGGTCACATCGTATGGCCTACTATGGACTGAAAGCAGCCTAAGGCAAGGGTCCCTGCCTGAACCTCCCACAGAAAGTGCCAACAAAGATCAAGAGAGCAGATGCTTTCAACTGCTTGTTCAAGGAGTAACTGCAGAGTGAGTGTCTGACACATAGCATTTCTAACCAAACTGATCTCTTCACCTTGACTGGGTCTCAACCACAAGGTCCAATTTATACTGGGAAAGGTAACAAGGAAGTAAACAATATTGACTATGTGCTATATCAGCCTTAATTGAAAACAAAGAACAAAGGATTTGAACATGGTTAACTGGGAAAAAAAAAAAGTTTAAACTTGATTTTATATATACCATGTATCATTACAAGAATACTTTCTGGAAAATATGATACAAAGAGACAACAACCCATCCACCAAAATTTGAAGACAGTATAGCTTATAAATCTAGATAATACTGTGTGGACATAATAAATGTGATAACTATAATAAAATCAAACACTTACATATCTTGGGAATTGCTTGAAGGAGTGAAACATATAGAAGCGGTGAAAATAAATTATTCCAGTTGCCAGGGTATCATAGTGTCTGTGGTTCTAGTTAAGGACTTCAGCCAAGAACTTTTATAGATTATGTTCTTAGTTACATATGGAAAAACAATAAAGACAGACAACAACAAAACCAAGATAAACTAAGTAAATATCAGTGGCCAAGCAGGTAGATAAGGAGCTCTGGTGGTGCAATGCCTAAGGCATTTGATCGCTACTAGAAGGTTGGTGGTTCAAACCCACCAGCCACTCTGCAGAAGAAAGATGGGGCAATCTACTTCCCTAAAGATTTAGTGCCTTGGAAACCTAACGGGGTCACTATGAGTTGGAATTGACTCAATGGCAGTGGGTTTTTGTTTGTTTGTTTGTTTCTTTAAGCAGGCAGATGGGAATTTCAGGGTGTCAGGATTCTGTTACCAGGATCAGCAAGTGGACATCTTATGCTGAGAACAAGCTGTGGCTTCATCATTCTTAGAAAGTATGCCAACAGGGATCTTAACGGAGGCTAGCTTTCCTCTTGGATGGCCACGGTGCTCCACAGCTAAGCCTATCCATTTAAGTGATAAACAGAAAATGAATAAACCCAAGGAGCTGAGCAAAGGAGAAATAACATTTTGTAATAGTCGTTTAAGTAGAGAAATGGCTGGGTATTTTCTCTATAGTTTCTATAATTAGGGGAAGAGGGAAAAGCCTGTGACTAATACAGACTCCAAGGAGAATCAGGATACAGCCCCAAACGTGTGCCCACGTCAAAGATGAACCGAGCCCCCTCCCGGCGGTACCGGGCCTCAGTGGCCGGGTCGAGTCCTTCTAGCTGTGAGGGTGTGTGAGCCAAGTCTTTCTTATCCCAGTACCAACATGGTTTTGTGTGGTCCAGGTTTGCTGAAGTTACTGAAGGGCTTGAATTTTCTTTATTCTCCTTCATTTATTGAGGTAGACTCGTTCTTTCTAACAGGTTCTCGGAAAAATGTTTGATCCTAAGAGAAAGAGAAAAAGAGACAAGGTTGAAAAGGGATGCCCCACATGATGAGCCATCTCCAGTTTGTCCTGATTTAGGATCAGTATTTCCCATAGAAACACCACTGTCAGCAGACTCAGAGCCCCAGGCTCATCTCCACACTAATTAGCGCTTGATCCACTATCAATAGATCCAGAGTCCATGGTCGTTTCAAGGGAGGAACATTTCCTCCTTCTCTCTTGAGTCTAAAGAGTTAAACCTAGACAAAAATTTATAAGAAACTAAGCACTGTGGCTTTCTTCACTGACAAGCAGCTCCCTCATGCTGGTACAGATTCCATTCTTCAGTAAGACCTAGGTACCTATCTTCCAAATCAAAACCAAACCCATTGCCACTGAGTTGATTCCGACTCATAGCTACCCTAAAGGACAGAGTAGATACCCCCAAAGGGTTTCCAAGGTTCTAATCTTTACAGAAGTGGACTGTCACATCTTTCTCCCACAAAGTGGCTAATGGGTTTGAACCACTGAGCACTTTAATCACTGAGCCATAAAAATCCAAAAGTCTGATGACATACTCTCCAGTGCCAAGGCCAGGGAGAAGCAGACAATCTCATACCTGGCCGCGCCTAGAAGCATCGACACTCCTATGAAAAGCAACATATCTACTACCCAAACCTTAGTTTCTCAACACCACTGCCTTCCATAGGGAACCGAGACTCTTTGAAAAAATCTTTGATTCCAGTTTTGGGCAAGGGCCTGCCTAGGATGTGCTCAGATTTGTGGGAAACTTTTCCAAAGGGCACGGGAGCCAGCAGGATGAGATCCCACTGGGCATTCTCAGGGCCTTGAGTATTAAATGACTGTCATTGACTGCAAGACAGTAAATAAGCCACTCACGAGTCCATGTTGTTGTTGCTGCTGTTATGTGCCATCGAGTAGGACCCGACTCATAGCAACCCCTCCGTGGGTTTCCAAGGTGATATCTCTATGGAAGTAGATAGCCCAGTCTTCCTTCTGAGGCGTGGCTGGTGCGTTTGAACCTCTACCCTTCTGGTTAGAAATCAAATGCCTTACCAGGACTTCTTAACGTATAGGACAGGCCCCACAACAAAGGACCATTGCCCCAAATGTCAACAGTGCCTAAGGTGAGAAACTCTGCTGTCTAATATTCCCTTCTGTGAATATTCCACAACTTATCTATGCATTCTGGGTCAGAAGCGACTCAACAGTAATAGGCTTGGTTCTTTGGCTTATCTATTTGCTCTATTATGGGTTGACATTTGAAATGTATCTGGTTTTTGATCACCAATCACAGCAATACATATTCACATATACTGTGCAAGAGAAGACAACTGGCCGGCTGGATGAGGGAATCAATAATTCAGCCCGTTTGAGATTCCCTCATAATATGCTATCTGCAATTCACTCACGGTACTAGCTGGGAATCTCTACTTTAAAGTACGTTAACCTAACTGTTCACCATGTACTTATTTATTCAAATATTTACTGAACATAATCTATGAACCCACCAGCTGCTCCTTGGGAGAAAGATGAGGCAGTCTGCTTCTATAAAGATTTACAGCCATGGAAATCCTGTGAGACCCTACTCTGTTCTAATGGTTCACTATGAGTTGGAATCCATTCGATGGCAGGAAGTTTGGTTTACTATAAGCCAGGCCTCAGTGACATAGCAGGGGACACAGGACACAAGGCCTCTGCCCCCCAGAAGCTTACCTTCCAGTAAGAGAGACAGAGAAACACATATGTAAGTGCCAATAAAGACAGTAAAGCATGGAAGTGAGAGGATGATGAGGCAGCATGTTCAGATAGCACTGTGTAACAGAAAAGGGAACAGGAGGGAGACTAAAGGAGAGAGAAGACAGGGATGGTCAATAAAGGAGAGGAGTAGAAACTTGCATCTTTCGTCGCATAAGAAACTCAGAGGTGCCAGCTTTAAGTCAGAGGTAGTAGTCAATGGGAGCAAGTACTACAGAAAAGTTAAGGATAAGCAATTTAGAAAAGATTACTAGAATTGGTGATCAGTTGTTTATTACAGATATTGAAATTTGACTGTGGTGATGCTTGTGTAATTCTGTGAAATACTAAAAAACATTGAACTGTGTCTACTTTAAATAGCTGATTGGTACAGTATGTAAATTTTATGTATTTCAATAAAGGAGGGCACACACAAATAAAAGAACATTTCTAGGAGTGCAGTGGGGCAGATGGAAGATGACCAGGGGCTCAGGAATGAACAGCCTGGGCAGCAGGCTATTGTGGCTCAAAGAAAGTGACAGGTGGAAGAGCAAGGGCAAGTTTGTGTTGTTTTCTGTCTTGTTTTTTCAGCAAAAAGGAAAATGAAGGCTGTCTAAAGCCAGAGGAAAGGAGTCACTAGAGGAAGACGAACCAGTCATCGAGAGGGGTCAACTGACCAAGGGCTAATACAAAGCATAGTAAGCAGCTTAACCTTAGAAGGGAAGCTCTTTCTCTGAGACAGATGAAGGGAAAGTTTGAGGAAGATTAAAAAAAAAAAAAAAAAAAATCTTCTAAGCAAGAGGAAGTAACTCATGAACGAGTCCCTCCATTTTCTGGGGCAAGCACAATGTAAGACATCTGCTGAGAGTGGGGAAAGGATTCTGAATAACCCGGCAGGAATGCAATAGGAAAACAATCTCAGCCCACATCCAGGCCTGCTTTACCTGTCACTGGCCAAACCCTATGCTAACAATCGGATGCAGGCGCCTATACTCTAGGACAGAAAGAACAATACATGAAATGCAATGAAAATAAACGTACACAGAACAGAAAACAGTTCTCTGAACTGTTCACCTCGCCAGGGGCATTCTTGCCTCAGATCTATAATCCTGCTCCCTATTACTTTAAAAATTATTTCCCCCAAGACCCTAAACTGCAAATTTTTTCATCAGCAGCTCATGATTACCATAAGAATGAGAGATTTCTGAGCTCTACAAAATGGAAATGCCTCCATAAACACACAGCACATCAAGACATTTCAGTAGCATATGTCAGGAGTGTGCTTCAGTGCTATTATTTTACACAATGGAATATTAAATGCACTTTCAACAATTAAAATGATAAATTCTTATAATTGGAAATAATAGTAACCTCCATCCCTCCATTCTCTCACTCAGTACAGAAATCCCCTCCAAGAACAACAATACTAATCTTCATTTGTCTACTTTCATTGACCTGTTGCTGTCAAGTTGATTCCCATTCCTGGCAACTCTACAGGAAGCGAGAACACCCAGACTTCATCTCTCGTACTTTGGCCATGTTATCAGAAGGGATTAGTCCCTGGAGAGGGATATCATGCTTGGTGGAGGGTCAGTGAAAAAAAGAAAGACCCTCAATGAGATGGACTGACACATTAGCTGCAATGATGGGCTCAAGCCTAGCAATGACCATGAGAATGGCGCAGGACTGGGCAGTGTTTTGTTCTGCTGTGCACGGGGAAGCTCTAAGTCAGAACCAACTCAATGGCACCTAACAACAACAAGGCTGTAATCTTCATGGAAGCAGATCTTTCTACCGTGGAGTGGTTAGTGGACTCAAACTAGAGACCTTTCAGTTAGCAGCTGAGTGTTTAACCACTGGGCTACCAGGGTCCTTTCACTTTCATTAACGCAACCTTATTACTTTACAAAGTAGCCTATGGTAGTGTTGTTGTTAGGTGCAGTCAAGTCAGTTTTGACTCATAGTGACCTAATGCACAACTGTACAAAATACTGCCTGGTCCTATACTATCCTCACAATCGATGCTGTTTGAGCCCATTGTTACAGCACTGTGTCAATCTATAACTGATGCGCACATTAATTCTTGTATTAATATTATATTGATTTTTATCTGTGCAGTTCACTGATCATTCATACCGCTCGTCATCTGATCTGGTACGTGGATGGCACTTCTAGAATCATGAATGAGTGAAATCGACCGTCTAACAATCTTCTAACTCCCACCACTGGTCCAGCTTCTGTAGCCTTGAGAGCTGCAGAAAAGAGATTTATCTATTGACTGCCCTTAAATATGTGAAGACAATTTTCCATTCTCTTGTCTTCTCCAGGAGAAACACACAGCCTCATCTTCTTAAACATGGTTTTCAGGGTCTCAAGGTCCCTCTTAAACATCAGCAATCAAAATGGAAAACAGGTTCCTGATACGATTGTCATGGTACGTGGGAGGAGGGAGGCTACCAATATTCAGCAGCACAACCACCGAGCACAGGATCCCTGCAAGCTATGTATTCTCATCTTTACAAACTGTCACTGGGTAAAAAGAGCCAAGGAGACATAAAGCAGCTGCCTAAATCACACATCTAGTCACTAAGAGCCACAATTTGTCAATCTGGACATGACTTTACTTCTGCCAAGTGGAACATTTATCCTGGAACCATTTTTGTTCAGTCAGATCTTCCTTATCCCAAACACATACAACTGAGTTTTTGTAAATTTAACCAGTCTGATAAATTTCTATCTTGTCAGTCTTGGCCTGTTATGTCAATCTTTAAGAACTCTTTGAATCCCAAGTGTCATCTAACATGCTCTCACTACACATTCTGAGTGCACTTTATTAATTTAGAAGCATGCCTCTTATATTTTTAAAGCTGGTAATAAAAAAATGTTCAGCAGAGTAAGGCAGGACCAGAGCCCTGAAGTCTATCTCTAAAGACCTCCCTCCAAGCTGACATCAACCCACTATCCAACAGTGTAGGTCTGGTAATTTGAACAGCTGTCCAGCCGTGCAACTAGACTCCATCCAATGTGCATTTGCTCTTCTGCCTGCTCCGATAAGAAGAACGATTATAGATTATGTTCAATGTGCTAAGAAACCCGCATAGAGTCCTGTCCCGTAATCTCCTTCCTACCATCAGTCTAGTGAACGCATCACAAAAGGAAATATGGTTTGTGTAATCTGATTTTTCTTATCAAAACTCTGCTGGTTTGAGGAAACCCGCTCTCCCTTCTCAAGTACTCACAGACTGTTTGCTCTGCCAACAAGATTTTAAGGCCGATTACTAAGACATTCTAGCATCCCAAAGCATTGAATGGCTTTCTGTGGAGATTGAGACATCTGCCAAACTCCTGCCTTCTGTCATTAACTGCACTTTTAGGATTCCTCAAGAGCTATGAATAACAATTTTACAATCTTATCTGCAAGGAATCTGGTATAACCTAATGAGATATTCTTTTATGCTCTCCTCTTAATTGTGTTTGTCCTAGCCCACTGGTAGAGAAAATAGAAAACATTTTCTTCTTTCCGGACACTCAGTAAACTCACTGCTCTCAAACATGATGTCCTGAAATCAACTAGCTCATCTTACACGCCAAAATGCTCACCTCTAAAAAATCACATTCAATTTTAGAAATGGCATTTAACATGTAAGGACTTTAAAATTTTAAACTTAATTAAATCAAGAAATTTAATTAGCAATTACAATGTTTCTTTATTGCTTGTGGTGCAAATTACATTTCCAAAATGGAACAAACTTTAAATGTGATCTATACAAGAATCAACGAATAATTACACATCACAATATAATCAAAATCAAATAAAAGGAAAAAATAAAAAATCAACCAACCCTAAAATTAGACAATCCCGGACAATTATTACATTTATAGGCAAGGTTAGTTAACAAGCAGGCATGCTATAAGTACACCAACATTTTTAAGCAAAACATCCGTCAGAACCTTTAATACTACGGCCACCACCCACCCATCCAGCAGCAACGAGACCTTCCCATAAGCCAGGCACTGTCTCACGTGCTGGGGGTACAGAGCTGAAGAAAAAACAATTCCTCTCCTCCAGGGGCTGTCATTGTCGCAACGCCATTCGTACAAACCTTTAACGGGTGCCCACAACTAAAGGGCACTGCGTTAGACACCTCTAAAGGACGGCTTAGATAGAGGGATACAAACGTTACCGACTCCGCCCTGCAACCCTAAAAGGCCATCCTCAGGCAACTGCTCTCGGAAGCACTTCCGAACGCCACACGACATAGCGAAAGCTCCGTTTAACTAGCACTACGAATTCAGGAAGTGCGATCTTTGTGCAGAAATATCTAAGGGCGCTTAGACAACCTCCAGACTTACTCTCCAACTTCCTCAAGCAGGACTCCTCCAGTATCAAACGGAACCAAACGAAACCAAACCTGAGCAAACACCCCAGAGAACGTAGGCAAAGACCATGCCGCGGCAAGAGCGCACCTGACCGCGGATCTGCCTCACTCTCCTTCCTAGTCCCCCCTTGTTACATGGCTTCTCAGCCTCCAAACCCAGAGTTCCCCAGACAACGGACAAGCCCCAGAGTCTCAGGCCCGACCAAGACAAGACACACCCAGTACCAACTGGAAAGAAATGAACAATCGGCGCCTGAGGCGAAGACTGCGTGCTTGCCGTCTCCTGCCCCTTCTCTTCGTTTGCCAGAAAGTCTTTGAACCCTACTGACCCTCGCGGTGAGGGACGTTACTTTGTTCCGGTGCCCGGTTAGATTCTGTGTTCCGTCCCTGCGCCTGAGACCCTGTCTCGAAGCCCGCCACGCACCCCGTGTCGCCCGCTAACTTCAATCTGCACCGGAGGTAGCGGAGGAAAGTGGAATCCAGGAAGAGAGACTACGCCAGCTTATGCCGACAGTTGGTTATACCCTACACCGAACTCCAGTTCGGGGAGAGGTGGGCGGCACTGCCCACTGTCCATTGGTCAACTCACCCCTCGCCTCAGGCAAGCCCCCTCAGCGACGTCTCTCCTTGCCGACTGCGGCCATCTTGGACATGGAATGTCGGGGAGCCTACGTCATCACGCTGCGTCTCGCGACGGAAACAAGCGACGGAGGGGCGGTGAGAGTAGGGTCTGTCGGCCAATCAGAAGAAAGTAGAGCTCTTTTTCCGCCCCCCCCCCTCCCCCGCCCCCAAAAAGTAACAGCCTCCTGTGTCCTGCCCACCCCTCACCGGGGGTCAGTAGTTGCTGCGTGCATGGGGAGGAGTTGGCAAAAGGGCCATCCTTCCTAGCCCCGCCCACGGGCGAAAGGGATTCTGGAGCAACCGAACTGCTAACGGAACTTGGCCACGAGAGGCGGGGGCGGGAGTGCCCATTGTCCAATCAGAGCTCGGGCGTGGGCA